CTATAAATCGAAGTATAAATCTGGTTCAGAAATTGTACAGGTTAATATTTTCTCACATCTCCAATCCTGTGATCACCCTTTATGGGTAAAATAGGTGTTCTAAAACCATTATAATTTTATTCCCAAAACTCATATATTCTTCCATGCATTTAACAGTAGAAAATATGGAAGTAATTTTTCAGCTTTTAGAATAAAGATAGATGTTGTTTCCATTACATAGCACATTGCAACAATCCACTGCCGCCACTGGCCCTATGAGACAGTCATTAATGCTTCTCATAAACTTCTCTTGTTTGGTGGTCTCTATAAGTTCAGATTCTCTCATTAATCCAATTGTTGTCACTTTTACCTTTCTTATTGAAAGAAGTAATCAACAGAGTAGGAAATATTCTTAAGCCACAGTGTCTTATATTTCCTTAACTTTCTCTATGGTGAATAGTAACCAACTACGTATGTATAATGCCTTATTTTGACAAATACATACGGCATCAAAATATCAATTGTGTAATTGAAAAAAATTGTTATTGATGACTTAGATGTATTTATGTTTCTGTGTGAACTGAGACTGAGGACAATCAGGAATTAATGTGAGAATCTAAGTAGTCAGTCTAGACAGTACACAATGTAATGAAAATCCAAATGTGGAATGTGCATTATTATCAATAAAATTCAAATGCTGCTACTGACACCAATAAAGAAAGGGCTAATTCTGTTAAATTTGAGCAACACAAATTTGAGCAACTGTAGACAACAACACAGAGGAAGAGGTGTTTAGAATTATAGTAGTAGAATTATAGTAGGGTTTTTAGTTGCTCAACATTTACTTTCTGTATATTTTCTAATATCTCTCTGTGTGTCTCAATTACAAAAATATGACTGAAATTTGAATAGCTTTCCATACAGCTGTGAGACCATGGTCAAGTCCTTATTACTAGAAAGCCTAGTTTCTTTCAGTATAAAAGGATGAAGCTGTACTCATAGCCACTCTGGATTGTTTTTAGCAGGGACTGCGTGATCACTAAAGCTTCCACTGATTCTACAGTCTCTGACTTTTTTCTCTTTCCTCCAACACTTATACTCTAATATTTAACTTTTACTACTTGCTGTTTCTTAAAATGCTGGGGTTTTTTTTTGCCTTCAACTTTTATTCTCTACTCTACGGTTTTATTTCCTAGAGTTTTCAAATAAGATTTCTCTTAATGTGAACTTTCACCACTATTAATCTTGAAAGGAATTCAGAGTAAGTAAATAAGTTAGTTAACAACATACCATGGAAACAAGACATATCAAAATGCAGAGCTGACTGAAAAATATATAATTTAATTCATAAGAACTTAACATTGTTCATGGAAAACATAACTAGATTTTATATTGTAAGATGGCACTAATTTAACTGAAGTGAAACCCATTTTGGATTTATGTAAAACCTTAGGATTAATAGTGCCTTCAAATACATTAATGTAATTTTCCTGTATTGAATAGAATAGTTTTAATTAAACTTTACTAACCCTTTTGGTTTAATCCCTGGAGCTAACCTATAAAACAGTAAAGGTTTTAAATCAAACTATAAAAATTCTCAGAGCTAAAAATTAAAGTGATGGTTATGGAGAGGAGAGTAGATAAGGAATCCACCAAATACATCTAGTAAATTATTAAGACTTCATATATATTATATGTAAACATATATGCACATGTCTTAGTTAGGTTTTCTATTGTTGTGATAAAACACCATAACCAAAATAATCATCTAGTCTATCACTAAATGAAATCAGGGTAGAAACTCAAGGCAAGATCCTGGATGGAGGAGGGCTGGTTACTGGCTGCTTAGCCTAATTTCTTATAGCACTGAAGACCACTAGACCAGAGCTGGAAGCACTCACAATCAGCAGGACTCTCTCCCACCAATAATCAACCAAGAAAATCAACTACAGGCTTGCCACAGGCAATCTAGTGGAGGCATTGTTTTCTCAATTGAAGTTTCCTCCCTAATGTCTGCCTTTGTCAAGTTCACATAAAACATGTTACTGCATAACGCTCAGAATTATAATTAAAAATAAAAATTAGGAAAAAGTAATTGTATTTTATAAAGGGTACTTTTAAATTGTTTGAAGATATCAAAATTTGTATAGCCACAATATTTCCTTTCTTGAAACATGCTGGTATGTCAGTAACTAATGAAAGAATCTGAAGACTTAAAGTTTACTCCAGAATAAAGTAACTCAAACAGTATTATTTATTAACTTCACTGGTAATAAATAAGGGTATAAAATACTATTTGCTTCTAAATTTTAGATTTGCAAGAATTCCCTTTCAAAAGAAAAATGTGAACTTTCTCACTCGACTTGTTTTCCTCTCCTGTCCCAGCAATAATAGCTAACTAAATAACTAAACAAATTCAAATGAAAATAAAACCACTTTCAAAATCTCCAGGCAATGCTTCATAAACTTTTCCCACAAAAGTACCCTTAATGGAACCAAAGATTGAACATGCACCCCTAGGGATCTGCTGCAAGTGTGAAATTTCTTTGAAGTCATCTGTTTTATTTTAAAAATTCATGTGGTTTTTGCATTCTACTCTGTAATATATATCTGTTTTAATGTAAAAATGATGTGTTTCTTCAATATCTTTGAGTTACAGAGCTCTAGGAAAATATGCTAAGTTGATACCAAAGGCATGTGTCTCCAAGAAATACATAATTATAAGCTGAGCTTTGTGAAAAATAAAGATAATTATACAAATACAGCTCTCCCTATATTCTACATAATTCTTTGTTTATCGTTCAGCTCAAAGTGATGGCATTTCTCCCCATTATCAGTAATTTTGAGGTCTATGCTTTTAGTACTAGAAGATAATATACCTGTTGTTCTCATACTGGCCAGAAAACATCATTTTCTCATAAAATACATACATAAATTCCAATAACCACAAAGACACAATTGTTCACTATATGTGCAATGTAACACATTCATTAACATGATATTGTGTTTCTCTTGTACCTTCAATTTAAAAAAAAAAAGCTTTTATGTTTTTTTTGAGGAAGGGTAACAATTCACAAGATGCTGATTCATTTTCAAAAGCAAATGAAGTATATAGTGCTGATATATCTTCTTTATTTCTACTGGGAGAGTGTGAATAGTACATATAGTACATTATACACAATAATGAAAGTGACAAAATATGACTCGCATGACCCTGAAATTTACATTAAGAAAGCAAAAATAAATTAGACTCAAATATTAAAGATAAGCATTTAACTATAAATAAGATATACATAGATTGACCTTTCACCATGGCTTTTCTTCCTGTAGAGGCTAAACTTCAAAGTCTTTTCTCCAGAGGCTTTGGTAAAAAGACGTTAGAAAGAAAGGAAATGGATTTTGAACAGTATTTTGACAAATGATAGTCAGTTGTCTTAGAGGACAAGGCAGGTGAGATTTTCAGGCAGGGGATGCAGCAGGAAATTGTACACACAGACAGGATTATTATAAAGGAATAAAAATGGCTCAAGAGAATATATGTCTGGGTACACTGAAATGAGAACTAGGAGGAAATGAAAGTGGCTGCAAGCAGGCAGGGTGTGCTTAAGAAGTTTTTGAGTTGAGAACTCTTTGAATTTCACAGAAAAGAAAAAGAGCCAGTCAAAAACAAGTGGAGAGTGGGGATTGCTGCAGTCCAAACAGTGAGATAGGAAAAGGGCATTTGGCAACAGCCTTGTGACTACACCGGCTGGATCAGTACACAAAGTAAGCAATCAAAACACAATGGATACATTAGGCTGTTGAAATAGACAGCAAGGAAGAAGGTTGTGATACTTAAAGAAAAATATGAAGGGATTTATCAAAAAGCCCAAACATATAAAAGAAACAAAGCTGAGTAGAATATATATTTAGCTGAACCATGAAGAACTATAAGATATACAAGATTATTCTCTTCAAATCTAGCAATCAAACCAATGCAATGTTCTTCCTGGTGTATCAGTTGTTAACACTATGATAACTATCATTGCTAACCACCACAGTATAACAGCTGTGTACTTACTATGTTGCGAGTATTTGACTATATGCTTTGTATATTTTAATTTACTTATTCAATCTTACTGTTCTTAACATTTGTCATTTTGTAGATTAGGAAAAAACTTGGGTGTCTAAATTACTAGCTCAATGTTCTGAAACTAGTAAATAATACCATTATAATTTCCTTTAATCATCACAGTTACAGAATATAATCACTACAGCAAATATTTCTCTTTTCGAAAAGGGAAAATAAACTTTGCACCCATATAATATTACCTGCAAAAAATATTTTCTTGATCCATCCTCCTTTAACTTTTTAATCACTTGTGAAGTGTGGAAAATATTGACAAAGAGATTTATCCTCTCTGGAAATCTTACAAGCATTCTGTTTCACTTCTGTCTTAATTCCTTAATACAGTATAAAGTCATGTGAGAGTTGTGTCTGCCTTGGATATTTCTAATGTTCCTAACTTTCTCCCACAGCCTCATCATCAGCTATTCCTTTCATCTGTCCTAAATGATTCTGCTAGTTTCCCTTGCACCTATTGAGTTGTCTCTGGAAAGCAAGAGCTTTACCATGCTAGGAAATAAATCTTCAGCCTTATAATTTACCCATTCCACAGTCATTTCTTCTTTATCGAAGTTATGGGACAGTATCTTTAAAACATACTCAAGGAGTGATGTCTTAAGAGTCATTTTGAAAACAATATCATTCAACATACATTCTCAATGTAAATAACATATTATTTGATTAGATGTACCATAGCTTCAGTAACATAGCAGTGTTTAAAAAAAAAAGAGAAGGATGTGTTATTTACATGTAAGGTGTAGACAAATATAAGCCAATCAAAACTACATTTCCATTTTCCTTACACCAACACAGTACTTTTATGATTAATAATTATAATATCTTCCTTTTCAATATTACTATTTAAATAAAAGCACATAAGCTAAGAATAGTCTCATGGCAGCTGCTAATTGATTACCTTTGCTTGCGCTTTCTACATGCTCCAGCTCTTCAGGAAATTTCAAGATATCCTGGTATTGTTCATCACAGATTTCAGCAAGAAAATGCAAAAGGGTTGATTTTTGATCTGCCGATTTTGTGTCTTTGATCTGGGGAAAAAAACAATAGTTTTCTTAAAGCAACATAAGTAGATATTTTTCTTAAACAAGTGAAAGAAATGACAAATGAAGATAGATCCTGATGAAGCTCACTCGTAAATTATTATTATCATCATCATCATCATCATCATCATCATCATTATTAGGTTGGCAGTAGCTTCTTAATGGCAGCTAGTTACATAGCTCAGGATCTTAAACTCAATATTTTATAAAAGAAAAATAACACAATAAAACTCCCAAATTAAACCTTAATTTTCAAACATGTCTGAATCATTACAGCAAAATGAACTCTCTTTTTTACTAGACACAAATTCTCATTTAAGTATTTTTAGTAATAGTACCAGTTAATGTGTGTTGATGTCAACAACATTCTTGTCTTTGCGTTAGTATAAAAATGTATTCTTGAACGCTCCATTCATTTGCAAGATTGGATTTATTTCGAGCTATCATGCTTTACATTTCCTTTATTTGCATGTGCCATAAGAAAAAAATTATAAAATTGTTTCATGCAAAATTAAAAATGAAAAACATGCTACACAGTCATGGAAACATGACAGAATTTAATAGTTATTTGCTAAACATTGTATTTTTTTGAGAGACACTAGGAAAAACAATATGGCATTAAGAGAGGAATACAAATACTTAAAAGATAGACCAGAACAATTTAGTTGGCTCTAATGCTTTCATTTTTATATTTCTTATGCTAGACTCAGCTGCAAATGAAACCAAGGATTTACTTAGAAACAATGCATAAATACAATACAAAGTATCACTTTTTTCAGTTTATTGGATGTTTTAATTCAATAATCTTTACATGATAGGTTTATCCACTAGTGTTCATACTGATTTGGAGTTTTTAGCTTTAAGGATTATTCTGTTTAGAATAAATATATATTCTTCACAAAAAGGTTTAAGAAAGGTTTCAGAGGATGCTTAGGTAATTATAAAATGAGTTAATCCTTAACGTTTTTGTGACTAAAGATAAAAACCATAGCACTTATTAAATCAGGTTCATATAAAATATGATCTGTGCTAAACTTTGTATTGGGTATTTACATCCTTATGATGTGAAGAAATATAAAGAACATGAGCCTTAGTGCTCCAGATAAACAAATGGCCATAGGAGTAATAATGTTCCAGTGGTCCTCATTATCTCTTGCCAAAATTCTACAAAGACAGAATTTCACATATCGAAAATATTTCAAATACTGAAATCATACTCATTCACCAAACACCTTTTAGCATTACAAGGTTGAATCCTACAATCCAAGGACAAGTTGTAAGAACAAAAAGCAACAGGAACCTCAAGGGCAGTTTACCATAAGTAAAGCTAGCAGCTATAGAGGAATCAATGGGAGGCTCTGTTCCCTAAAGAGAACTGTTTAGCCAGGATTACTGTGTGGTATGCTCACAAAGTGCATTATTTTTACAGTATGTGGGGCATGTAAGAAAATCCCTTACAACTTAACATCTGAGATTCTAAAATAATAATAATAAATAGGTGCTGAGGTAAATTGCAGGAAAATTCCCTTCCTAGCAGTAAGGAAATTGATTTTTTTTAAAAATCTGTGGAGACAAATATAAACCAACAAAGAAGAAAAAAAGAATAGCAACCTCTTACACATTATTCAGATGCCAAACTATATAAGTATTTTGCAATTGTTAAAAATGTATGTAGCTAATACTGCAAATAAAACAAGAAATGTGGTATTATATTCCTATGGCGATTTTATGCAGATTTTGTTTTCTTTGTCTCGGGCTTTATGACATTTTACATGAAAAATTTGGGCTTTATCCTACATTCATAAATTGCTGAATTTACAAATTTGTGTGTGTGCATGCATGCGTGCATTCTTGCGAGTGCACATGTGTGTGTGTGTGTGTGTGTTTATCTGTTGTTTGCAGGTATTAGCACAAGTGTGAGGGTGTACTTGATTGTGCAAATGTGTTAAGAACATCAGGCAATGTCTCCTGTCTCCTATTATTCTTATTTTTCCTACATCTTATTTTTGAGACAGGGTCTCTCATTGAACGTGAAGCTTGCTATTCAAACTACACTGAGTGGCCAGCAAGCGCTAGGCGTGTCTTTGCCGCCAATCAATAGGAGTTAGACATGTTCAACTATGAAGTTTTTATTTATGTTTGTTTTGTTTTATGTGGTTGCTAAGAGTTTAAATGAGAATCCCTTATGTGATCACCGAGCAGTTTAATCACTGAACCATTTTCCAGCCCTCAAATGTGTTTTCATATTTAATATCAGTGCCACTAACAATATAATTCTGTTATGCAATTTACGATGGTCAATGATTGAATTTACAAAAACAAACAAAGAATAACATCTTGGTTAAGCAAATATATTATTATTGCTAATTAAATCAATAGGGCTTCTAGACAGCATATACATGTGACTATTTAGAACAATAATACTCCCTTCAGAGCATGGGCAAATATGGCAAAGCACCTGCCTTGTCAATCTGAGAAATATATACAGTTGAAGTGGGAGACAAACTGTTTATACTCTATATATCAATATTTATTTTTGAAATCCCCCACAGAGACCTTTTTAATGTCTCAAACTGACAGTAAATGGTGACCAATAGTTTGTCTTTTAAATCTTTCTCTTTATGCATAACCTTTAGATCAATTCTTTAAAACTGGGTAATATTAAAATATGCAAATAATTTAGTGTAATACATTACTTTATATTGTGTATGTAGGATTTCTTACTGTGTATCATTTATATACTAGCCATAGTCTCTTTTGTCTCAGTCCATGTAGTATTCGTTTTCAGCAGAAGACAACTGAAAACACTTTCAACAATACTAACATGTATCTAATAATTTGTTCTTGTAAGTGGACAAGCTAGATATATTTATCTCTGGAAAAAATGGTAATCTAATTTGAATATATAAAATTTATATAAAATCACATCAAATAGTTGTTATTATATTAAGATATAAAATGAATTTCCATTGAAACCTGTTTTTTTGAAATCATGTTAAAAATGTATATGAGTCTCAAATATCTAAACAAGGAGGGAGCCAAGCTAGATCTTCCCTAAGTCTCAGAGACAACTACATTTGTAAGCATTTCAAGGACTGTTCTAGCCAGAAGCAACATTTCCTGCATTTCAGCTTATTCCTTTTTTGAGTTGCACTGAGGAAGGATACAAGAAAGATGTCTGACATCTTTTCATGTGCTGCCATGGGATAGGCTACTCCATGATCCCCTACTTTGTGCATATTTCTAAACAATAACAGCAAAATAGTACTTTTATCAAATAGAAGAAGTTCTAAAAGCTTAAATTTTTATATTATTTTGGTAAACAGACTTAGTGATTATAAATGAAAATAAGAGTGAATCATTGGAATAACTGAGAGCTGCTCACTAGTCAACCACATATACAGTAGCTTTAATTGTATTGTTACATAAAGATTACTAACTAAAATCAAATGAATTCCATTTCTTTAATCTTTAATAACATTAAGAAATAGTTCATAAATAACAAAATACCCTTGGTATAGCAATACCTACTTCTAGGGCTCATTCTGTTTATCTCTTTATAAAACATATAAGTAAGTAAAATTTAGTAGAAAATATGAAATTGCATAGAAAAGTGAAAATATGTTGAGTAACTTTGTGGCAAATGCCAAAGACTGATGCAATTATAAAGAGTTGTCAGACATAGGAGGCAAAGGTGGATGCATTTGAGGCACTGTGAAAAAAATATGAATTTTTGTCAATAAATAACAGGAAGTGAAAATAGGAAAAGTTAGACTCCATACCTTTTAAGTTGTGCAGATTAAAAAAAAAAGTAACCTGTCAGAAAATGCTAACTTTAGAGTAAACTAATTTTAGAAAGAAAATGGTAGCAATGTGAAAATAGTCCCTGAGAAAGAGGGTATGAACAAACATTCTCTGGGCTCTAGTGTTATCCATGTGTTATATACCCAGGGAATGGCACTATTAGGAGGTGTGGCATTGTTGGAATAGGTGGGGCCATGTTGGAGGAAATGTCTCACTGTGAGGGTGGGCTTGAAGAAACACTCCTCCTGACTGCCTGTAAGCCAGTCAGTTCCTGTTTGCCTTTGGAACAAGATGTAGAATTCTCAGCTCCTCTAGCACCATGCCTGCCTGCATATTGCCATGCTTCCCTCCATGATGATAATGGACTGAACTTCTGAACCTGTAAGCCAGCTCCAATTAAATGTTGTCCTTTATAAGACTTGTCTTGGTTATGATGTCTGTTCACAGCAGTAAAACCCTAGGACAACAGGCAACACAGGGAATATAAGCAGAGTTCACATGCTTAATAAAGACAAGTGCCATAACACACCCTGTTCACTTATACATACCAAGATTTAATATTTACTAGATTTAATAATGGCCTATTGGTTATGAAGAAGGTGTTTGGAAAGGGGAACCATTATGCAGAAAGCAAGTTCATTAATAATAATGAGTCTTTTCCAACTTCATTGAGTGTAATTAATAAGTACCACTTTTTTCCCCATAGTGATTTATACATATTGTGTTCGTACCATTTATTTCATAACACGTAATTTTGTTTATATGCTCAGTATCACCCACCAGATTGTGACCTCCTTATAAATGAGGACTATGATCAGATCAGATTTTTCCCCCTGGAATGTTCAATGAATAAATGCTACAGACAAGCCAAAGATAATTAAGGCAAATTCAATGATTAGAGAAATCTTTGGTGACCTTCAAGTACTGTTTCAGAGTACTGCCAAGGACATAAAATTAAATGGAATGGATAGCTAGGAAGAGGAGGTAATGTGTAAGGATAATTTATTCAAAATATTGACTGTAGATAATAGCTGGATAATAGAGGGGGCAGTAGAGCCAGCAGCTGGAAAATGGTGAGGCTAGTGGCAAAAGTTATTATAATTATCATTCTGAATAAGTTCAGCATAATTAGGCCTGAGGAGAATAGGAATTAAAAGAAATAAAAATAGACAATCAAGAATCCA